GAGAGGGGGAGAGCCGGGCACCCCCAACAGGGTTCTTCATGACATTCCACACCTGGTCTCAGTCAACCCAGATCATGAGAACATGTGTGTGCCTGGTGTGAACCAAGAGACTTAAGAATGCAAACTCAGGACCCTCCCATGTGGATCCAACCACATTACCACTGTACCACCTATCTGGCCCAGTGTAAATGTTGACACAGTGAAAAATGTTGGGACCAGCAAATGGCATAATGGTTACATTGCTGGACTCATATGTAGTTGACCATGGTTCAAGTCCCAGACCCAGCAGCTTAAAACTAATGCTGGGCATGTGTGCATATGTGCCTAAAATCCCAAGAGGAGAATGCAGAAGAAGAGATCATGGCATGGCCATCCCCCTGAGGGGTGACTTCTGACTTTCTGTCTGTCAGGTGAGCGTATGCATCCTACAGCAAAAAAAACTCTCTCAAAAAAAAAAAAAAGAGGTGCCAAATAAGTATTATTATAAAAACAGTCTGACCTTGGGTAACCCTAAGAATCCACAAGCCCACTTCTTAGAGAACTACTGTCCTAGGAGTTTCGTGACAAGGTGGAATGGGCAAGTTGTAGCCACTCTTATCTAAAGATAAGAGAGAGATTCTCTTTAAGGAATATTTATGGCTTCATTATTTTCAAGGAAAATTACAAGGGGGGGAGGGGGGAAGAAAAGTAAGTAAATTACGATGCAGCCTTACAAGAGGATGTATCTGCAGAACTGAAGAGGAAAGAAAAAAGAAAAAAAAAAGGGAGTATTTAGATGTCTGACCACCATCTGGGATCCACGGTGAGGGTTCTGAAACATGGCCCCCTCATGTTCCAGTAAAGGCAGGCAACAAGCGCAAAAGACTCTCACCTATATGCCTGATTTCACATCTTCACTCTCACTGTTGGCTTACTAATGAAATCTGGGGCTTGATATTTATGCAGAAGAATAAGAGGATGCACTGACTAATGATTTCAATAAATCAACAACTTAGTAATGACACAGTCACTCCATGTGGAATGGAGGATCCCTTTCATTTGTTTTTCTAGCTTTCAACTCTTGATTATTCAGTATTAACACTTGACCAAACCAGTTATGGCAGGGAGGGA